AAGTATAACAGTAATGAAAATTTTATTGCAATTTTTACTGAGAAAATCTTTAAATAATTTTGGCTTTCAAATTTTGCCCAGTTTTACATAAAAATTGGAGGCACTGTGTATTTTTGTTTTCATATACTTTTTTTTATTTATGAATATATTGTAACTGTAAATTATATAGTATTAAAACGCAACAGGATAATTTATTTTGGTTGACAAAAAAATGTAATTTTTGTTTTTTTTTTATTTTTTTTTTGTTTCAAGTCCCTTTAGGATAATAATTTGTTTGGATATCAGCAGTTCAGTAGATATAGTCAGTTTTTAAAGCTAAAATAATATATGAAGAAAAAAAAAATAAAACAAAAAATAAATATTTTTTTTTGCCATAACTGCATTTATATGTATATATATACATATACATATGCTATACACGTTCTACTTCATAAATAAATAAACACTATTATGTTAGTAAGTAATTCTGTATAAAATATAAACAAAATTATTTATAATCCCATTGAGTTAAGAATAATATCCTTAATTTATGATCCTTTTTTGTTATGTCCAGAAGATTAAAAATAAAATAATAATGGTAAAAAAAAAACCATATTTAATATTTAAGAAATTCTTGAATTTTGAGTGTTTCTGTGTGGTTCATTAAAATTTATAACATACAAGAATACAAAGTTATTAAAAAAAAAACTGAATTTGTAGAAGTAAAAGTTAATAAAAAAGAATTAAATAAAATAAATATGAAAATTAAAAAAAAAAATGAAGGCAGACAAAATGAATGTTAACATTTTATACAAACATAGAAGGAGTAATAGACAGACAGAATAGAATTAAAAAAACTGGTATTACAATCAATTATATTGAATATAAAAGAGGATTTACGTTATTATCGAATTGACAAGAAAATTATGTTCGTATAAATATTAAATGAAAATTGTATATAAATTTTGCTAGGGAATTCTTTGCACGGAAAATGAAAAAGTATAATTGAATTTAGTAAATTCATAAAAATTTAATTTATTAATTAATTTCGCTTTCGTAATTGAAGATAATTTGAAAATACAACCTTCTTTTATTCTTCAACTATACTACTTTTGTAAATTGTTTAAGAAAAAAATTTTTGAATTACATTACTTAAAAAATATTATTTATTGCATACCTTCAGGGGTATTTGAATTCATAATTTAATTCTTACGGCTATTATAGAGCTTTCATGGTTACATTTTAAAAAAATTATTCAACAAATTATAAGTTGATTAGGATTATTCATGTATACTTTTAATTTGTTGTGATGTAGTTTTTGAATATTAATGGTATTCTATTGTTTTTTAAATCCCTGTTATCATACTTATTGACTATAACTGCAATAACTGATAATATACTCTTGTTTTTCTGTGATAATACTTGTTACTTGTTAGACATAGTGTCTTTTACAATGATTATAATAATTATTAACAAAACTCCAATAATGCTATAAAAATTTTTAATAAATGAAAATATAAAACTATGAAATATGTGAAGGTCTATTTATTTATAATTTTGAATAATACATTTTAGAATAATTTTCTCTTAAAATTTCTCTTAAAATTCACATTGATCTTAAAGCTCTTACAAGGAGAGCAAGGAGGGGATGATTAATGTATATAAAATTAATTTCATTTAATTTTTCATATTTTATTTTTTTATTATTGCATTAAAATAAAAATTTATAAATCGTTTATTTTTTTGTACCAAGGATAAAATCCTTTTATACTTATTTGGTAATATTTATAAAAAAAAATATTGCAATTCTTCAACACAATTCTCAAAATAAATTGAAATTTAAGAAAAAATAAAAGAAAAACAACTAAAATTTATTTATTTCTTCTTATTTTCATATGTATATGTGTATAATGTATTATGTTTACATTATTATTCATTGTTTAATACTATATAATATAACGAAAATGCATATTGTATATTTTATACAACCCTAAGTCTCTCACATATTCATTTGAAATGTTATAAATATGATATGATCAAAAAAATAGACACTATAAACATATTTTAAAGTTTGTATATGCATTACACTCAGAATCAAGGATAATTTTTTATTGCAACACCATCATTATGACGGACTATACTATGTATTTATACTACTTCTTCAACTCACATGAATATAGTTTAAATATAATAATGTGAACATGTATGTATATGAAATAATCCTTGAAATTTCAAAACATTATAAGGATGATACAAATATTTTAGTTCAATTTTTAATGGTATGTACCAAAACAAAAGAAAAAATTCATACAGGACGGTGTAAAAATAAATTGTTGATCTTAATGTAAAAAAAAGGCAGGTTCGATTTGGTGAACTTTCTAAATTTTTTTAAATAACAGATAATCCTTCCAGCATCAAAATGGAATTCTAAATAATCGCGCTAGGAACTCCTTTTTATGAAAACCACCTTTTCGTACCACCTCATATAATATTGTGATTTTAGTTTCATGCCATTTTAACGTAAATTAGATAATTGATGGTGCAAGCGTTTGAATAATTTTTCGGCATATATTCGAAGTCCCCCACTTATTTATTTTAAATTTTTAAGAAAATAAAAAGGATTTATGATTTCGAAAATAAAATTTTCAAACTACATAAATCATTCGCAGTGTTGACCATTTAACGTATGTCAGTAGCTTTTAGAATATTTTGGGAAAAAAATCAATCATTTTTTGAGTCATTCTGTAGCCATATGCATTACCAACATATATATAGTAAAGGGTCGATATATTATAGTGTATATCTAGGAAATATGAAAACAAAATTTTTTTACATCATTCACTATCTTTTTCTATTTTTTCTATTTTTTTACCATTATTATTATTAATTTTTTTCATTTTTGTTTTTGTATTTATTTAATATTTGCTTAAATTTAATGGAGTCAATGTTTATAAAAGTTATTATTCATTGTTCGAATACTTATCATGTACATATGTATATGTACATAATACTTACAAAATAAACTAAAATATAAAAATGAGCATCCTTTTTGAAAATGTAATACATAAATTGCATATATATATAGGTAAGCATAAATGAAAAGTCCTTGTATATATGTTTTTTTACCGACCGTATTGTGTAAACAATAGGTAGGTTATGTGATGGCAACAAATTTTGCATATCGAGTTTTCGGTGGGAACGTACTTCTCCATAGTAGGGAAGTGTAAATAAACTATTTTTAGCAACCTGTCGGTCTGTCGGTCTGTCGGTCTGTCGGTCTGTCGGTCTGTCGGTCTGTCGGTCTGTCCGTCTGTCGGTCTGTGTGTGCACGCGTGTATCTCAAGTTCGGCTGAACCGATTTTGATGAAATTTTATATGTAAGTTTGTTTCCACCATGGCACGGATCGATCAACTTTTGGTATATATCAGGCCTCGGGAACTGCACTTTTTAGCGGGCCTGTTTTACATTTTTGAACATTTTGAAGAAAGTATTCAACCGATTTACTTGAAATTTTATATATAAGCTCAGCTCGACCGTCCGCAAAAATTCCTATGTTTTGGAAGAAATCAGGCATCGGCAACTAGACGTTTACTACGGGCCAAATATACATTTTTGTGTATATAAAGAGAAATAATCAACCGATTTCATTGAAATTTGATATATAAACTCCTCGTATTAAAACAATAAACATATAAATTTTTTGGAAAGATCAGGGCTCGAAAACGGATTTGCGGGCCGATTTTACATATTTCACCATTTTGAAGAAAGTATTCAACCGATTTACTTGAAATTTCATATATAAGCTTTGCTCGATTATACGCAAAAATTCCTAACTTTTGGAAGAAATCAGGCATCAGCAACTGGGCATTTACTACGGGCCAAATATACATTTTTGTGTATATAAAGAGAAATAATCAACCGATTTCATTGAAATTAAATATATGAATTCCTCATATTAAAGCAATGAACATATAACTTTTTTGGAAAGATCAGGGGTCGAGAACTGATTTGCGGGCCGATTTTACATTTTTCACCATATCCACAGAACAAATTGATGGAATTTCTTGAAATTTGATATTTGAGTTCTGGTTGTTACCGAAACTAACTGGCGAGCATTTCAGGGAATTCGGGTAGCACAAAGCGAAACTCTACTAAGAGCCAAATTCACATTTTTCTAGATGTGTTAACTATAAGCTTACTAATGTCCTAAAAATTGGAAAGAAGTATTTAACAGACATTTTTATAATATTCTGTAACACTTTCATTTAACTAGACAATACACAATGCGGTCGGTTATGTGCTGACCACATCAGATTTTTTTACTATATGATAATAATATGAGATTATAATGAATAATACAAGAGTACATAGGGAGCAGCCATAATACAAACATCTTTCAGATATGTATAATGCTTTTAACTTTATGATCTCTATAAATATATATGTATGTACTTAGTATATTACGTCAATCTTCATTTAAAGTACATATACATTGGACTTATATAGGTGGTGTTGGTCTAATAATGTTTTTTTGTGTGCATTATTGAGAATTTTGTTTAAGTCAATCAAATATTTAGAAAGATTATTGTTGAAGTTTTAAAACTATCATTAATTTTTCTAAAATTAAAGTTAATGACGTAACTGACAAGGTCAAAATTATTCTTAACTTTTTTTTAGTATACTGATAGTTTGTAATATTTTATTAAAATTAAAATATAATTTGAAGTAATTCATCACATTAAAATTAAATGAAAGAATGTACATTAGGTTAGGTTAAGTGGACACAATTTTCCGAATGATGGTATTTTAGACGGAGGGGACGGCTATTTGTGGTATATTTACTTCTATTGTGTAATATGGAAAATTATTTTTAATAAATTTTTTAATATAAATGCAATAGCTATAAGAAAATGTCTATCCCATAAATTTTGTAAGTATGTACGTAAAATATGTAAATAAAATCTTTTATATTAAATTTTAAGAACCATTATGGTTACTAAATAATTCTAATTTGACTTACCAATTTAATTTCTCGACAATGTCAATTCTCAATTAAGTTGCAAGCAATGTACATAATAGATGAAATGTTGATTTTCCACTGAATTGTTATGTTATTTTACAATTATTTTTCCGTTCTTGTAATATGGTAGTATCATTTGTAAATTCGGCTAAAAGTTTATAAGTGAAATTCCAAAAATGATGATCTTATATGCATTTATTTAAAGTAATTTCTGAAAATCATAAATTTAATTTGATATTTTTAATTGAATTTTATTAAATATTGAAATTTTTGTTAATTACAATGGAAAAAATAATTTTTATATAATATAACATTATAATTTAATTAATATTAAAATTTTTAGAAATATGATTACAATTTAATTTTTTATATTGAAAAAGTTTTCAACAAAGTGCATAATAATTGAATTTGAAGATTTACATGAAATTGAAAAAAGTAATTGTTATATATTGTAATACTGTTATACATATATAATAATAAAAACTAATCTATTTAAATGAATTAAATTTAAGGAAATGAATTAAATCTTTAAGGACATATAAAAAATATAATTGTCTATAAAATTACTTTTTTCATATAAAGCTTTTCCGTTAAACTGTGTTCTGTTCCGTTATTTGCGTTCTTAGTTACCGTTTGCATATAGTTAAGAAAAATTTTCAAGTTGAAAATTGTCATAAAATTTAATGTTTACCAGAAATTCGTGTTGGTAAAATAATTCAAAATTTTAGGCAAATTTCTTCTTAAATGAATTCTCTAGACTGAAGTTAATAAGTATAAGATTTTAAAGTTAGTATATGTGGTAAAATTTTGAAAATCTTCTACTTTTATTTCGAATTTTGTAAGTTTCATTTCTGTCTAAAATTGACTGAACAAGGTCCTAAAATATGTTCGAATAATAAAATATCGAAAAGATTTTATTAAGAAAAAATTTGTTGGTATTAAGATAAGTTGAAATGAAATTCGAAATAATTATGATTTTAATTTTAATTTTATACAAATGACTTGCAATTTGTAGAAAAATCCAAATCAGTGTAACGGTAACTCGATTTGTATTTGACTGTTTACAATTAATTTTAAGAATTATTGACAGATTGTCAATTTAATAATTTAACAATATTTTTCGATTTCTCATTTAATTTTGAAACTACAATTTATTTAATTTATTTAATTTACAAAATAACCTTAAAATGTAACTAAAAGTCTTATGTAGCCTAGCTATGCACATTATTTTTGAAATTTTGAAAGCCAAATCTTTTACAAAAATTTTATATAAATTACTAAAATGAATTTCTATGGTTAATAATTTTTATTATTCTTTAATGAAAATTGAATTTTTTGAAGTGTTAAAAATTTAAAAAGAATTCTGAAATATAAATTCAACACTATCTATCTAAATTATTTTAAAAATTCTGTATAGCATTGCTTAACATTAAATTAAAATTTTATAAAATTAAAATTTGTAAGTAGCTATATACACAAATTCATTAAATAAAACTTTTAAATTTAAATTGCCAGGATAAAAAACGTGAAAATAAAATAAATTTTAATTTTTTTTTGTTTTTTTTTTTGTTACCTTGATTATTATAAGGATATTTGTTTTAATAATTAAATTGTTTTATTTCTGGTTCGTGAGCTTGTATACCAATGAATATACATACATTACAAACTTATATAATATATATTATATATGTTTACAAGTTTTTGTATAACTTTTTGATTTTAACTAGATGCATTTAATTTATAGTTTTAGAGAGTAAAGAAAGGTTCATTAAATTTATTTTAATTTTAGATGAAAAAAATATTTTGTTTGCAGTGGTTTCATCAAAATGAATAAATTATGCAATACGTAAGTATAACAGAATTTTACGTGTTATAAAAATAAATAAAACTTTTAAAATTTTGTATTATTTTGTTTTTTTTTTTTTTTGAAAATGAATTCAAATTTTTTTTCCTTTTTCGGTTTACATTTTTCTAGTATAGCAATAGATTTTATTACACAACTAGGTATTTAACATTTCTAAAATTTGGCAATTATTCTTTGGTTATTGCTATGTATATATGGTTCAACTGTTAAATTATACTTGTATAAATGAAAATTAAATCGAATTTGCAATAATGTGGTTTGAAAAAAAATTGCCTGAGTTAAATGAAGTTGTCGAAATGTTTAACGTAAATTAGGATAGAATCTAGTTTTTGAAAAAATTTGAAATATATAAGATTTGTTATGATTTGGCTATACTTAACTCGAAACTTTGGACTTAAAACTGAAAAATTGCTGAAGAGCAATGAAACTAATTTTTTATAATCTTAGTTTGTAGCCCAGAACTGCTTGTCTGAAAATGGACCAGTATTCCTTGTTATTTTGCCTTAAATTAGAATCAACTTTCAAAGCTAAGTTTAAAAACACTAAATATAATTAAATGCAATAGTTTAATATAGTTTTCTTTAACATGCAAATAATTGTGTCTGATTTGTATTTTAAGTTGATCTTTCTTAAAATTGATTTTAATATTGAAAATTGCTTGACGCCTTCAGTATTGAGTTCGACATACAGCTTAATCATTACTTAACACTATTACAGTGAGAGCCATTGAACAACAAACTATAGAGCAGAGCATTACAACCCGTAGAAAACTTAAAATTTTATTTTTTTCATAGTAGTCTGATATGAAAGCTTCTTTCGTATATTGGAACTTACTCTAATTTTAAAAGAAGGTTTTCTACTACATTTCTTATTTTCAATACGAAAACATAAAAGTGTAAATTCTTTTTTTTTTTAAATGTTTATCTAACAATATTTTCACAATAATAAATATTATCGCTATTCGGACAAATAAATTTCATTGTTATTTCAACAGAACATTCCACTTATTTTATGTTGTTATTTAATTAGTGCTGAAAGTTTCTTGATTTATTAAACTTTCTTGACTTTTATTCTAAAAATCAAGAATATATAAACAACTTTTTATAAAAATTAAGTAATGAAATCTGTGTGCGTATGTGTGCTCCTAAATTGAGATTTACAATGATATCACAATAATATTTAGTCAAAAAACAATACGAATTCATGTGGTGCAATTTGTAAAAATAAAAGTTATTTTATAGCTCATTTTGGTTCATGACAGTACAGTATAATCATTATTTTTAGAACAGTGTACAATTTCGAAATATATAGATTATTATTATAGAAGAAAAATGCTTTTAATAAATGAATACATAGATGACTTTAACATTTAATTTTAATAAAATGATTTTTTTCATTGAAATTTTCAGTGTCCTTTGTAAGGCTATGCAGGCTTTAAGTAATTCTGTTTTTTGATTACATATAAGTAGAAATTCGCTGAGTTTTTTAGTATTTTAATTTTTACAATTTATTTGAATTTTCTATAATTGAGTAGTTTGCAAGCAAATTTTATCCAAAAATTGAATGATTTCTTTTAATTAATTCGAAAATTGTATAAGGGTGGGTAAGGGTTCAGGCAACAACAATTGACATTGTTAATATAGAAGGAAAAATAATAATTTCCTTTTACATAAAATAATTCATAAATAAGGATATTTTGACCTGCACTTTAACGTATGATTAATTCGCGAGAATTGTTGTTTGTTTTTTTAATGAAGAATATAGAAAGAAAGTTTTTTGAGTAAATTGATCAATTTCGAAAATATTATCATTTAGATTCGATTAATTTGCTGGCCGTATTTAAATATGGAATTAATGGTTATAAATGAAATTTAAAAATAATTTTTGAATTTATCTTCGAACTGGTTTAGAATTCGTATGTATAACTTTATAAAAATTAACTATATAAAAATTATTTTTACTTCATACACTATAAAATTTTTTCATTCATGATTTTTCTAATAAATTACTGTAAAAAACTTGAAAATTTCAAGCAAATTTTGTTCTGAAATCTATAATTAAATTTAGTTAAGCATCGAAATTGTTCTAAAAATTTTTTCAAATTTTGATAACAAAAAATTTAATGTTCCATTTACTTGAATTCTTCTGTAATTTAATACTGATGGTTGTTCATTATACATATAAAAAATTAATTTAATATTGTATTTCACATATAGAATCAGTTTCTCTTGGCTTATTTACAAATGAAAATATGAAGAGAAAATAAAGCTATTTAAAAATATAACAAAAGAACTGATTTTGGTTTAAATGTGTAAGAATGTTCGTGTAAATGTTCAAATATCAAAATATCATATTTAATGCAATCGTATATACATTTGTTTGTATGTATTTATAATTATTTTTGATAATTCTTTTTCGTTTGTTTTTTCAGTTAATTGTTAAAATAACAAAATGTCTTAAAAACAAAAACCCTTTGTTTCGTTCTTATTCCGACTTCTTATGAAAAAAAAAACCTCAATCTAATTCTACCACAATCTAATTTTAATGAAGGAAAATGAAAAATTGAAAAATTTTTTTTTCGTATAAAATAAAAAAAAAATATAAACGGTTTATTTTTTTTTCGCAATTTTTTTTTCTCTTTATGTCACAATGTTATTTTCCAAATAATTAAATAAAAATACTTTGAGATTTATTAATGTTAGCGAAATAATATTTAACAAGAATAAATAAAAAAAAAATTATAAGAAAAATTCTAAATAATTGAGATTAAAGCAATTTTAGTTAAAAATTTGAGATTTTTTTCTTAATTTTATTTTATTTGTTTTTTTTTTTTTTGAATTGTGAATGTTTTTAATTAATTTGGAATTATAAAATAAATTTTTTTTGTTCTTTTTTTTAATTCAAGGACAATTAATTTAAATAAAAAATGTTTTTAAATGCTTATAGTATTAATTGTATAGCTTCTGTCTTACAGTACAGAAATTTTAATACCATCACGTATGTATGAATGCATGGATATGTGATACGGATCCAAACGCACATTAGGATTTGTGCACATGAAGTTATAGCAATATATGTATACAAAATGTAGATTGTTCTGTAATTATTTAAATTGAATGGCTACAGAAATACTGTTATAATAATGCTCTTTATATCATATAAGCAGTGCCGGATCTATATGCAAAGTAAATAAGGACAACTGTTAAAAAGTTGAAAAAAAATAAAGTTGGGTCAAACCAATGGTTTGTATTGTAGCACTTTTCCTTCAACAAGTGAAAATTTTGCTTTTAAATACAGTCTATGTATACCTATCGCACTATTAAAATTATTTTCATTCATATACAAAA